CAAACTTTCCTGTTGTTACAATGTTCTCCAATGCTTCTTTCCGCATTGTGTGTCCGAAAAAATTTGCCTGTCGTTTTCTTATATTCGTGATAAGTTGTTTTCTATAATTTGCTTCAACCAGGACTTCTTCATTTGTTTTTTCTAGCTGTCCATGGGATACGTAGCATGCGTCTCATGAACCACAACTCTGCCGCAACAATTGTTTTTTCCAGCTGTTTATTGATTGTCCATGCTTCGCACCCGTATAATAGGATTGGCTCGATGTAGCTTTTCATTACTCTTTTCCTCATTTCCAGTGACAGATTGATGTTTGTTAGTATCTGTTTCATCTTGTGGAAGGTTGCTTTTGCTTGGCAAATGCGGCTTTTAATTTCGGTGTGACATCTACCATCTGATGATATAATGGTCCCCAAATATCTAAAATGTTGTACTTGCTTGAGGGTGGTATCATTGATTTTGATATTGCATGTTGGGATTGGAGTATTTCTGCTTATCACCATCGTTTCGGTTTTCTTGATGTTTGGGTTTAAGCCCATGTTGTCACTCTCTTGTACGATGACATTTAATAGATTCTGCAGGTGTTTTTCATCTTCTGCTATTAGGACTGTGTCATCTGCATATCTTAGATTGTTTATATTATGTCCCCCTATCGAAATACCAGGCATTTCTTCTATGTGTCTCATGATATTTTCACTATACAGGGAGAACAAGTCTGGAGAAAGTACACATCCTTGTCTGACTCCTCTTTTAATCTGTATGTATTCGCTGATGTCGTTTTCTATTCTCATTGCAGCTGTTTGATCCCAGTACATGTTTTTGATAATCCGTAAGTCCTTCCCGTCGATATTAAGAACTTCCAGCATGTCGATGATCTTGTCGCGCCTGATTTTGTCGAATGCCTTGGTGTAGTCTATAAAACATAAATGAAGATCTTTCTGAACTTCTAGGGCACGTTCTATTGTTGTTCTGATGACATATATGGCATTTACAGTGCCTTTTCCTTCAATAAATCCACATTGTTCTTGGGCTATTTCTGGGAGAATTTTATTTCTTATTCTCATCATAATTATTCTGAGTAATATTTTTGTTATGTGGCTCATGAGGCTGATGGTTCGATGTGTTTCACATTCGTTTGCATTGGGTTTCTTTGGTAAAGCTATGAAGATAGATTTTGACAAGTCTGATGGAATATGTCCAGAGGCATATATGTTGTTAAGAAGTTTTGTCAGTGTGGTGATTTCAAAGTCTTCTAAAGCTTTAATCATCTCTGTGGTGATGTTGTCCGGTCCTGCCGCTTAACCATTCTTCATCTTTCGTAGTGCCTTGACAACTTCTTCTTTCATGATTGGTAGTCCCTCGTTGTTTTTTTCCACTCTTCTTTGTTCATCTCTTTTGTCATTGTACAGGTCACCGATATATTCTGTCCAACGTTCTAGTATCTTGTCCTTGTCCATTATGATATTCCCATCCTTTGATTTGAGGCATCCTGTTGATCCACGTGTTCTTGTATGGCACACCTCTTTAATTTTTCTGTGTAGATCTTTTGAGTTCGCATTGGAATGATTTTCCATTTCTTCACATTCTTCTTTTAACCAGGTCTCTTTTGCTAGATTACATTTGTGTCTGATTTCTTTATGAAGATTCATATATTTTTCCAAATTGTTTTTGTTTATTCTTCGTTCCTCCATAAGATTAAGAATTTCTTCAGTCATCCATTTCTTCTTTGCTTTTGTTGTCTTTTCTGGTATGACTTCTTTTGCAGCCTCATTTATAGATGTTTTAAGCAGTTCCCATTGTTTTTCTATATCTTGTATTTCTTCTAAGGGAGCGAATTTGTTTTGTACAGTTATTCTGAATTTATCTTGCATTTCTTTGTTTGATTGTAGTATGGCCATGTTTAGTTTCATATTCTTTTTCTTGCTCATGTGTGTTTTTTTCAATCTGATTCTAAATTTTCCCACTACGGGTACATGGTCACTGTAACAGTCTGCACCTGGCCGCGTTTTGACATTGAGCATCCCGTTTTTGTATCTTTTCTTGATCATGATATAGTCGATCTGGTTGCGAGCGCTGTCTCCAGGACTCTTCCAGGTCCATAATCTTCTTGGTGGTTGTTCATACCAAGTGTTTCCAATAATCATGTCATTCAGGATGGCCCATTCTATCAGTTTTTCTCCTCTTTCATTTCTGTTTCCCAGTCCATATGGACCCACTATGTCTTCATGTCTTATTGCTGCCACTTTTGCATTAAAATCACCCATGACTATGACAATATCTTGTGATTTACAATGTGTCTTTGCTTGGTTTATTTCATCATAAAATTTCTCTATTTCATCTTCTGTGCTTTCTGAGGTTGGCGCATATGCTTGGATGATGGTTGTATCGAATGGTGATCCTTTCAGTCTCACCAGCATAACTCTGTCTGATATTGTCAGGTACCCCTTTAGTGTCTTCGATGTTGGCATGTCCAAGATGACCGCTACTCCTCTTTCATGTTTGTCGCCTCCTGAGTAAATGATGTTATAGTTGTCGGACAATATTCTGCCAGCTCCTGTCCATCGTACTTCACATAAACCCATGATGTTAACATTCATTCTCTTCATTTCTTTCTTGATGTTGTCCAGTTTTCCTTTCTCTAGCAATGTTCTCACATTCCAGGTTGCTATGTTTCCTGTTTGATTTTTCCTTTTGTGAGCAGTATCTTGATGACGATCTGGTGTCACCTGCTGTGCATGACTGACCCTACCGGACGAGGCAGTTCTTTCAGAACTCCCCTTTACGTCTTTATCTTTATTTATTGAAGTGATATGATCCATAATGTTCTAGGGAAAGAATACAGCAGTGGTTTCCCCTTGCCTTCTGTTGGATTTTTGTACGGTTTACTCCGCTAGCCTTTGTCCAAAAGGACTAACCCACAAGGCAGTGGGGGCAGGTGGCAGGTTTCGGCGCCTCCCTCTCGCCTGACAGTCTCTTTACTGAGCACATAAGGTATTTTATAGAGACAGGGTTGCCACCACCCTGTCCCACCTCGCTCTCCAAGACTGTCGCCAGTTGGTCCGCGACTGCTTATTGGTTATTCGCAGCTACCCTACATAATGTAGGTCGTTCCACTATCCGCCACCTGTGGACGCGGTGGGTCGGGGATGGTCGCCCCAGCTTTAACCCGATAATTACCACCTGGCAAAATAAATTTACCTGCTCTACTGGTTCAAAAGAGGTCGGGTTTGAATTACACCCAGCCGAAAGAAGAATTGCACCACTTTTTTAGGGAGAGGGAGTGGGGTTGGGCAAGGATATGAACGACTTATTCGTATGCAAGGATTAGTTCTACTCCCCCTCAGTCCTTGCCTGCCTCCCTCCAACTCCTTCCTCTAGTTGCTTATATTGTGACAAGTCTACTTTTTTTTTCAATTACTATGAGCTTGACGTATGGGCTGTTTACTCTCACTTTTTCCCCTGAACCTGAAACTTATAACTCTGTAGTCACTTTGTACGACAAGGTGTTAACATCTGCGCTGGTAACAGCTCTTGAAACACGTTTACCTTTATGTGCAAAAATGCCACCCCCCCCCCCCCAACCTTAAAATATTTTTAACAAATTATCAATAATAACAATAATTTTTTTAAAATGCTGGAGTACGTATTAGATTTGATTTATACCAATATGTAAAAAGAAAATCTCTAAAAAAAATAAATTACATGTTATCGATCCCCGCTGGGCAATTTGTTTACGATGACAAACATGCATACATTAAAAATACGAGTAAAATGGCCTAAAAAAACACAAATAAGTCCTTTCGAAGGTGAATTGTACAACGGGATGGCGGACTTGGCTCCAAACGTAACAACGACAAAAAAATAAAAACCCACAAAAAAGTCTTTTAAACGGAGAGTCGAACATTTGGGAATCTTCGGAGACGAATACAAACAAGCATTACAGAGTGCTTGACTGGAGGCAAAGTGTGTTAAGAAAGGGAGTGATTCAAAATACTAACTTACAAAAGTATAGCGGAATAAACTTTGCAAATGAAAAGGCCAGTCAAGCCAGGGATACTCACCCTACGGAGTTTTCAATGTCTTTCGGTATTTGTTCAGATGCTTTTCTGAAATTTGCCTTGAGACATGGGTGGAAATGGAGAGAGGAAAAGAAAGAAAGAGAGAGAGAGAGAGAGAGAGAGAGAGAGAGAGAGAGAGAGAGAGAGAGAGGGGGGGGAGGTTGAGGAGGGGGGGGAGAACATCTCCGGGAGTCTGGAGTCTGATTATTTCATACAATACTTTTTTCTATTTTTTTCTTGGAATGAAATAAAAGCAAAGCCAGTGGAGTTCTACATGTCTGTTTTGCAATGTACGTTCATTGGCAACGGAAATAATGATTATGTAAACTGAGATACGCTTTTAGATTGAAAAAGACCTCAGGGGTATGGGTATTCATGTATTTATACCGGGAAGATCACTAATTGATTCGATGATATTATGACTAGTTAGACGGAGAGCAACACAAAGATCAGCCTTGATAGATAGGCAGATAGCTGGGTACACAGGGAGGACGGCAGATTGACAGAAACGCACACTGTTGAACAAACATGCAATCGCTTGGCGGGCAGGCACTAAGATAGACAAACAGACAGACCCACCAACATGCAGACTGACGAACAAGCAAGCAAACTGAGAGATGCGTAGCCAACCATTTTTCGTTTGACTATGTCGAGGTTAACGTTAAAAAAAATTTAGGTATCCAGTTTTTGTTACTACTGTGCTCTTGAAACACTTTTGAAATTTATGCAAAGACAAAAAAACAACAACCCCAAACGAATAAAAAACCAATAACTTCAAAACAAAACAAAAGCATCCCCCCCAACCCCCCCCCCCCAAAAAAAAAGCCCCAAAGCTAAACGAAAAAAAATTATTGAAATTATTCAAAAACATTCAAAAGCGAGCACTTTAGTGGCACAGATGTTGAGTATGTTGGAAGGTTCGACCGGATACGTAGAGGCGCTCGCCACTTCTGAAATGCAAAATCGTTAGCGAAAGGTGGAGCGTGCCGAGGAAAGTTTTAGTTTCAATGTAAGCCATTCTTGGATCCAAGGGTAAATAGGGTGGTTGGCATGCTGACTGTGGTGTAATTAAACTTCCTTCCACTTTTCTTGGTTTTAGACAGGTTGCTTTCACGCGCTTCATTAACTAAAACAAAAAAGGTGGTCTAAAAATGCGATGAGCTGAGATCGTGACGACGAAAGATCGATAAATTCCACTGTTCAATTAAACATCAATCGTTTGGTTAGTCTCGTATCACCTCAATGTTTGCTCGTCGGCTTTGCATGGCTTTCCCGTTCCGATTCGTCTCCTCTTTTTTACTTAAGAGAATCGTTTTGGCCCTTGTAGCCTTCATTGTGATTAAGCTCACTGCATCTCTTCTCTTCGACTCCAAGTACGAGAGATTATCTAGAATCCACGCAGGTGGCAATGGCGGATTAAGATTCAGTAGTTATGTTTATGAGAGTGATGGAAAGAAAACGTTTCCTGACGAGAATATCTTATGGGAGACATATCAAGGACCAGATGATTCTGGTTGGCCAGGTGAGAATTTTTTCTTTCTGAGATAGACATGTTGAAAAATGATGATTTTGATGTTTTATTTTGTTGGCCAACTGTTGGCAAAGCCTGTAAAAGCAATTATTCCCACTATTAAGTTATTGTTCGGTTTGGTTGAGTCTATTTTAGTGACCCACAGTCGGGGCTTCTGAGCAAATTGTGTGTGTTATTTGATTATCTCTCGGTGTGGGTACACCTTGGAGTGTTCATGTGCGTGTATAGGGGTGTATCTGTGTATATGCGTGCATGTCTGCGTGTGCGTTTGTGTTCGTGTGTGTAAGGGTGCGAGTATGTTCGTGTGCGTATGGGTGCGATCGCGCGCGCATGTATAGCAATGACAACGACAGTGACAATCTTTATTCATCTCGCAGTATGTATGTGTGTGAGAGATGGTGTATGAATGTGTTTGGTGTTTTTTTGTTTGTGTTTGTAGGTGTGTGTGTGTGTGTGTGTGTGTGTGTGTGTGTGTGTGTGTGTGTGTGTGTGTTTGTATGTGTATGTGTGTGTTTGTGTGCGTGTGTTTGTGAGTTGGGGGGGGGGGGGGAAGGAGGTTGGGATGAAAGATGCACATTCACGTATTCATTATACACATAACAAACTAACGTTTGTATGCCGTGTGTATGTGTATCTTTATGTATGTCCATGTGTATGTGTTTTAAGTATCCATACGTTATATGTCTTGGGTTATTTTTTTTTGGTTTTTTTTCTTGGGGGGGGGGGTGTTAAAGAGATACAGACTTGTATGTTTTATAAACATAAAGGGATAAACACCGGCCTTGCTATAATTGAGTGCGTGTGACACCGTTGCCCCTTTGCCCTTCGTTTAACTTAATTAAAGTTGAGTGACAATCACTAAAGACAGTGAAAATAAAATAGAAGCAACAGAAATGCGGTTTTTTAGGAGACTGCTAAAAGTATCGTGGAAGGAAAAGAAATCAAATGAGGTAGTGCGTGATGAAGCCCACGTGGGACGCTCAAAGTTAAAAACAATCAGGAAGCGACAAATGCAGTTTTTGGGACACATAAATAGACATAAGGGTCTTGAACATCTAGCTCTCACTGGCAAAATTGATGGCAAGCGAGGCAGGGGTAGGCCCAGAACAACATACTTAGGGAACCTAAACAAATGGGTAACAGGGAAAGGTCAGGGAAACGTAGCTTTTTTTTTTAGAGCATCCGAGCAAAGGAATGAATAGAAAACCATGATCGCCGATGTCTGTTGCAGATCTGGCACTGGATGATGATGAAAGTTGAGTGAAATGGTGTGTTCCGGTATTTTTTCAGAGTGCAAAGCGTAGAATATTGTACTACGACTCTGGATTTAAGATAAAAAATTATGTTAGGAGTTTCTTTGTATGTTGTTTTTTTTTAGTTCGTCTTTATTTGTTCGTACTTCGCTCCTAGCAATCGAAGATTATCTTTTAATTTCCAGGAGCAAACGGCTCTGCGGTGTTCAGCAGTCCAGATACACTCAACGCCACCCAACGGGAACAGTACGATGCTGGTTTGGAACGTTTCTACTTCAACGAATACGCCAACAGACAGATGTCATTGCACAGGTCTTTGCCTGACTTTAGAGATTCCAGGTAACAAAATGTCGGCGCCATTTCACGATACATCTTTGAAGTTTATTATTTTGAGAAGTTTGAGAATGTCCATTACCCTCCTTCATCCTTATTCTCATTCTTCGCCCCAAAATGTAGATTCTGTTTTACGTTACATGAACGCTATTATCATTAAAAAACAATGGCTTTAATTAATTTAAAATGATGTCTTTGATATATCAAATACGTTCTGTTTTCGGGATTCTCAATTACATAATAAATTCCATTTCTATTTATAGTTTGATTAAAACTAATAACGACATAATGTGAAGAAATCTAAGAGGCGTTTTGTGTGCACTGCAAACAATATCATGTCAGTACACTGGTAACCCCAGTACCAGAAGAACACTCTTTCAATGACAGTACAGTAGAACAATCTTCCATTAGTAGAGGATACAAAACCAAGACTACTGGTCTGCTGTTGGTGGTTGTGATTCTTTATTGTGATCAATTAATTTTTTATTTTGGTTTTGGAAAAATGTTTCTTTTATTTGTTGAAATGTTTCTTATCTTCAAAAATAATTTAGAGACTGTTGATATAAGGAATTTATTCATGTATTTTTCATTATTTTTTCATTCTTCCAGACATTTCCCCCCTTGTTTTTAGGGGTAAAAGGGAGGGGGGGAGGTATTTCAGATGTATATTTCTTGTCGAAGAAGTGAGTTTTGATTATTCCTTTCCCAAATTGGGCAGCGATTCAGACAGAAAGTAATATTGCAGACATTAATAAAGAACTAAAGAAAGGAAAAGAGAGAGACAGGTAGATAGATAGATAGATAGATAGATAGATAGATAGATAGATAGATAGATAGATAGATAGATAGATAGATAGATAGATAGATAGATAGATAGATAGATAGATAGATAGATAGATACATAGATAGATAGATAGATAGATAGATAGATAGATAGATAGATAGATAGATAGATAGATAGATAGATAGATAGATAGATAGATAGATAGATAGATAGATAGATAGATAAATAGAGAGACAGAGAGAGAGAGAGAGAGAGAGAGAGAAAGAGAGAGGGGAGAAAGAGAGAGATAGAGAGAGAGAGAGTGGGAGGGTGAGAGAAGAGAAATGGAAAGAAAGAGAGAGAGAAAGAGAGAGAAAGAGAGAGAGAAAGAGAGAGAGAGAAAGAGAGAGAGAGAGAGAGAGAGAGAGAGAGAAAGAGAGAGAGAGAGAGAGAGAGAGAGAGAAAGAGAGGGGGGGCAGGGTAGTTGAGACGACAGATTGCAGTGCTGAAATTGAACTCGCCAGCATATATTGATTTTGGCTGTAATTCTGTTAAGAACTCATGAAAGCAACCACTGTGAAGCCTGCATGTTCAATAGGCTTAACATGAGCAATCTTCTATCGTAGCTGCCTTTCTGAAATGTCTTCCAAAAACCCATCCTTCACCATTCCTTTATAAATAACATTCTTTCTCTCTTGTCCCTTATCCTGTAATATCAACTGATAACTTTCTGATTTTGAAATTGTTATCTAACAAATAAATCAAGTTTTTTTTACGGTTTTCAATCAACATGCATAAAAAGAATGGCTATTACTTTAACTTTCCAAACAAAAGCTGTAGTTGGGAGATACTTGAACTGTAGAAACTCAATTATAACGGTTCAAATACGCATTAAGTACACTGGGAGCTGTCCAAAAACTCGTAAGATGACAATAGCTACTAGAAAAAGATACGTTTTGATCCAAATAAAACTAACACATTTTGTATAAACACAATTCTACTTCTTCCCAACATAGTCTCATGGAGAATGACGTTTTGTTGTTGTTGTTGTTGTTGTCGTCGTCATCGTTGTCGTCGTCGTCGTTGTTGTTGTTGTTATTGTTGTTGTTGTTATTGCTTTTGTTGTTGATGTTGTCGTTGTTGTTGTTATTGAAACAACTGCAGAGATCTCTGTCACAAGCTCATCGTCCGCCGTGAGCCACTTTCCTTGAGTATTGCTAAAAGAGCCTAAAAAATGGAAGTCTAAAGGAGGTACGTCAGTGCTACAGTATTATGGAGCAGGCATTAATGCTATCCACCTGTGCATATGGATCTCGTTTTCAGTCAGCCTCACCTTTGTCGGGTTGAAGAATAGAGCCCTCCCCCAAGCTTCCAGGTCTGTTCAGTCAGTTAATTTAATTTAGGGACCCCTCGAGCTGACAGTGTACGATACCATAACTGTTGATCGACAATAAAACATCATACATTGTTAAATTTGGAAAGTCAAGAACAATAAGAAGCTCCCAAACTTTCAGCTGCCTAACTTCAAGAAAAATTAGTTTTGCATGTAAAGATCAATCATTATATTATTCCTCCATACACTTCTGCTTTTGACCATTCCTCTCGCTTCACGAGGACCTGAATAAATACTCAATGGACCTATACCGTGATTCATAAAGATCTATTGCACCTTATTTATATAGAAGAAAACTCTTCAGTCGTAATTAGCATGAAACTGAAATGTTTTGAAAGTCAACTCCATAATTATTATTTGTTAGTCGATTGAAGATTTCTTGTGTCTCTTTTGCAATCGCTTGTAGTATAAAAAGTTGATTCTTTTGTTTAGTAATTGCATCGTCACATCAGGCTTAGATAACGTCTCTTAACCATAACGACTGGGTGATCTTTTAATCGTTTTAGTTGACTTGCGTTGATATTATTTCTTTTTACCATGGTGCATACGTACAAGTATACAGAGGGGGGTTCAGAAAAGATAATAAAACTTTAGAAACACCACTATACTAATGCGTATTAAATATGATAATCCCTATTGAATGTATATGTACCATAATGGAGTTTTAATAGCAACATTAGAACAGCGTGAAAACTAAACGCGTCTTTGGAAAGGAGCTTCTCTCTTCCTCATGCCAAACCTGTGGCAAACTGTAAAAGGGATTTGTAAATGTTTGACGATATCTAGAAATTCCTTTCTAATTCAAATGAAACATCTTGTCCAATACTGTTGGCTAATCCTGATTTGACACGATCGTGTCTTTGAGGGGCGAGAAAAACATTGAACTCAAAGGGGTTCGAACCTAAAACTCCTTGAGCACGTTGGTTAATTTCGGAACCAAATTAGGCACTTTCTGATACCTAAATCTCTAATTTGATAAGGATCAGGGTGAGTTAGCCTGAAGAGATTAAGGGGGGGGGGGGCTACACCTGGAGGCTATCTCGCTTATTACTGGACCGAATTTTACCACATTTCACACATATAACAAGCATAGTAAGGAGTCTTGAAATCCGCAATCAAATTTGAGAAAAAAGTTTCGTTTCCATGGATACGCCGCCATATTGGATTTATTGACATGTCTTACGTAATGAATACCGCACTTATCACTAATGGAAATTGATTGTATTTTTGCATGCGTGTTCACAAACATTAGATCTAAAAATGTGTCAGTTGTTTTTTTCCTAATCGAATTAGAACATTTTTAATGAATTTTTTCCTGAGGTAGCATTCAAGTTTGCGAAAAATCCGTGAAAATCCACACTCCAGGCACCACCAACAAAAATATATTCCATATATATCAAAAATTCAACAGACATATTTTTAGTATTACCTCTTTTCTTCATTCTGTGAAAATTTCACGAAAATTGGATGAAAAATGGTGGAGTTATTCAAAAAAGTATAGACAAAAGTAGCATTTTGAGAAAACGGCCGATAAAGAAAAATAAAATACTGACTTTATGAGGAAATGGCGGTTACAAACATGCCAGGTATGAGAAAAAATACGATTTTGGGGGGTTCTTATGCCATGAAATAGTCGTAGGAGAGGCTGAGGAAGCTAAAACTGCCTACAACTCAAATTCCATGATTTTGAGCCGAATTTTGATTTTGGGGTGTAGCCCCCCCCCCCCCCCCCCCCTTAACAAGAAGTAGTTCAGTTTATCTGGGCAACGGAAGGTCATTGAAATGCAATAGCCGTGTTGAGCTCAAATTTTAATCGTCTTATCAAATGTAAATATCGTATTAGAATATACGAAGAAACACGACAGCAGGAGTAGGCTGACGTGTTTGTTTCCAGTCCAACAGAAATTGTGCAGAAGCGATGACTTGCAGCGATAACTTTGGCAAGATGTCGACTTTCTAATTGCACTAATCCTATTTTAAAACAATATCGGGGAGAATAATAGAATATAAATGTACCAACTTTTCCCAATGTATAATCCCAGTCTATCTATCTATCTATCTATCTATCTATCTATCTATCTATCTATCTATCTATATATATATCTATCTATCTATCTATCTATCTATCTATGTGCCAAGACACGGTGGAATTAGGCTCTGGTCTAATTTTCGGCGTAAAGAGTTATTTGTCTCATATAAAAGCGTATTTATTTGCTTTGCTTGTCATACAAAATATACATCTAGCTGAAATAGAAGTCGAGATATGTGCGATTGAAGGAGGTTGGGGTCGCCTGGTGTTGGGGGAAAATTAACGAGAGATGGCCCCCAGATTTGGCGACTTCCAAAGCTGTAGTTTAAAGGAAACTACACATTACATTTTTCGTTTGGCCTTTGAACAACATTGCTCAAAATAATCAAGGTAGGAATATGTTTTTAAGCGGACCTTAAACGTGCTGGTCCAAACACTCACACACACAAACACACACACACACACACACACACACACACACACACACACACACACACACACACACACACAAACACACAGAGAGAGAACACACATATACACACACACACACACATTTACACACACACTCACCCCCACCCCCCACGCACACCCATACAAATCAACAAAATTGCTATACGGGCGGAACATTGTTGATTTTTTTTATTTCATTATTCTCAAGAGCACCTGATTTCATCATAATTTTATATATATATATATATGTGTATATTATGTTAATATATATATATATATATATATATATATATATATATATATATATATATATATATATATATATATATAATGTAATTATTACTGGGAACACCTGCCAGCTATCAGGTCGAGAACGAGCTAAGCATGTACAGGCCAGTCCACAGAGGAGTACGACAAGGCTGTGTCTTATCTCTGGTTCTCTTTAATTGATTCTTCATATCATCATTGTTCTGGTAGGGGTCACAACGTGCAGCATGAATGTGAATAGTCTACAGTACGCTGGTGATGCAGTTTTGATTGCCGATTCTGAATCTTGACTCCACGAAATTCTAACTAGAAGGACGGAGAAACGCGAAGGGGAGGGGATACAAATGAATGCCCAAGAAAACAGAATGCGTGTTGATATAAAATATAAAAAAATAGCTAATATTCCAAAATGCAACATCATAATGTGTTATTAGGAAAGGATAAAGCAGGAAAACTAGAGAAAAACACAGAAAGAAGACTGGAAGCCACCGAAATGTGGTATCTCAGCAGTGCTTGACGTGTTTGTACGCGTGTGTCTCTTTGTTTTTTTCTACCGCTACCGCTCTGCCTCTCTCTATCTATCTGTATGTTTCTGTCATTATATGAATACAATGTGTGTGTGTTTGTGTGTTTGTGTCTGTGTGTGTGTGTGTGTGTGTGTGTGTGTGTGTGTGTGAGTGTGTGTGTGTGTGTGCATTTGCGTTTGTGCGCGCGTCTGTGTGTCTGTATGTATGGGTCAGTAAGTATTTTTTTTAAAGTCTACCATTTCCCTTCTCTCCACCTTCCGTCTCAGATGCCGAGATGAGAAATACCCCAAACACCTGCCAGATACAAGTGTCATCATTTGCTTCTATAACGAGGCGTGGTCAGCTCTACTCCGGACAGTCCAAAGCGTGCTTGACCGCTCCCCGCCACAGTTGCTGAGGGAGATCATCCTCGTGGACGACTTCTCGGACTTGGGTATGAAGAACTTGAGGGCGTGAAAACTCTACACCCCGAACTCACTTGTAATGATAGCAAAAAAAATTCTTTTAAGAGCGTGTTTTCCTTCATCTCGCTTTTCAATTTTTAAGTAGTAGTGCAAAGCCGTTATTTCATGCAAGCACGTCCCTTGTCTAATTGATACTCATAAAATACTTCTATTTTTTATTGTTCGTGCCCACTAAACTCGATTTAAGCTGATTGCACCCTGTAAACACAGACCTTCTGTGAAAATATCTCCCAGAGAGATTCCCAGCCACTGATATACATGTACTTGTAAAGGTGTAAAAGTTATTGCATTTATATTTGTCTTCCTGCACACTTGAACGCTATTAGTATTAGCTCACATTTTTTAAATTTATTTATTTATTTATTTATTTATTTTTTGTTTTTTGGGGGGGTTAGTGAGTTATGGCGCTCGCAACTGCATAAGGTCATACGAGCGCGCAGGACACAGCAAACGTTTTCAGTAGATCGAAAATTTTGAATTTTGCCCAGGTGGCGGCCGAAGCCTACTCTTATCGATTTTAGATCATCAAGGGAACTCTAGCGTGCGCAACTTGCACACGGGACCTCCGAGATTTTTCACCCTTTTCCGAGAAGGCTAGGTTTGGATCTTTCCTACCAGAAGATCAGGGGTGAGGCTCAAAGACAGCAAAAAGAAAAAGTCAGGAAGTAGCAATAGAAGGGCTGCATAAAGAATCAGGAGCCCAGAGGAGGGGGCAAAGGATGGTGGGGACAGAAAGTGGTGACGAAAGCAGACAACACAACAGTGCTAGAGATCAGGAAAGGAGGAGAAAGGAGACAATTTTAGAGAAGAAATTTTTTTCGTCGCTACCCAGATTCGAAACGGGATCTTTGAATGAGAGGCGAACACCTGAACTTCTAGGCTACGAGAGCCCCTTAGCTCACATTTGTCCATTCTTATTGGAATCACCGGTGTGCCGTACAGTAACGTGATTAATTCTTCTTTTGGATAAGGGGGCACCAAAGTACTTTGCTCAAACGATCCAGCAACAGCAACAACAACGACAGCAACAACAACAACAACAACTACTACTACTACTACTACTACTACTACTACTACTACTACTACTACTACTAC